TGCAAAACTTGTGATCTGAGCTGGCTTTATGGTAAACTGAGTGAATTATGAAAGATTGGAATTCTATTAGTGACGATTGATGACTTTTTAAGTAGTAGGTGATGAGTTGAGTTTCGGGAAATATATGAATATTAGATAGAGAGGATAAAGACAAGCATTGTGATAAATTGTTGCTAAACTGGTTGTAATTGTGATATCTACTTTAGCTGCAAAGAAAAAGTAACATTCCCAGCTTTCCACATGATTTTTTGATTAACACTACACGTACTGTCATAATAAGCTCATTAAAACCGTAAGCCCAATAAGGTGTTAAAAGATTTAAGGTTCCGAAATTTCTGGTATTGTTAAGTTACAGATAGCAATAACTGTAGACTTATACGATATTTATCTTCATCAAATTTAATAAGTGCTAATCAGTGAGTAAAGAATCAGTAAAATGTATATCATTATTTTACAATATACCTTTAATATTTCCAGATGACCCTAGTCAAACATACGTGATGCATTTAGGTATAACTGCGGTGGAGCCTCATTGGAATAGCGAGGAAAAACCAGCGTTCAGCCGAAGATTCCCGAAGAAACCATTGGAAGTTATTGATCCTCGCGACGGAACAAGAGTTAATAAAGTTGCACTTTCTGAAACACAGTAGTATGACTCGAATCGTATTAATTTTCAATGATTTAGCAAATATGCATGTATATTTATCATGTCTTGCCTTGAAAATTCGGTAAATAATAACTAATCTTTATGCAAATCCCAAACTGTAGATATAAATTTCCCAGTTATTATTGTAACTAAATGTTTCAAGCTTTGTGCTTTTTTAAATTACTTCCAGTGTAGTCACGATTGCGAACTATTTTTTAAACATTTCAATCAAATAAAAATTATAAGCGTTTTACTTTCTTGATGAATCTGAAGTACGCTTAGGCTGGGTCACTACGAAAATATTACAACCGTTAAATTTATTCACAATACTTTGCTTGTGGATGTTCTGCTTGGACTAAAAGTATGTTGTGAGATTCAAATGTTAGTGAACCTGCTTTGACCTAGTGAAGATTACAAGTCAAGCTAATCCTGTCATGTTAAGCAAAACCGTTTGTCGCTAGGGAAATACGGTTGTGGCAAAACAGGTCTTAAACTGACTGGTATGGTTTTCTACATGTAAGGCCTGGTAGTCAAGCCCCGTTTCTCTGTTCGTAATACAATTGAGGCGCGTTTATCTGGTCAAACGTACTAAGTGATGGCTCGTAAAATCCCATTAGTTTGAAGTTTGTTGGCATTAACCAGATTTCGAACTCCCAACCAGTATGTTTTTAAATGCAAAGTAGTTTGTAAACTGTCAATTTTCAAAATCGGGTCACTGAGTAAAAGCTTGCACCTGAAGTCACAAAAGCAAGTAGTTTTTGCAGTTCTCCGTACCTACGTTTACTAAACTCAGTCGTGTGTGTTTGAAGAATGAGAATAGATTAAATATTTCTGTAATTTAGGGATAATCGGCAGTCACCCTTTCACACGCTATCTTTTCACGTCAGGTGTCACGAAACATGTCATAGTGGAGCGCATTGACCTACTGGGAAGAGCGTAACATTGGAGACTAATCGCAAGTGAATATTTTTAAGACCTTAACAGTTATGACTAATATAATTGGAAAAGGTCGTGGTCATTAGTCCTGTATTTAAGGAGTACCGAACGACAGTGATATTGAGCTATATCTCCCACTAAATAAGAACTTTCGTCTAAATTTGAACGAATAGTTTCAAAATATTTGGGCGGCGAGTTAATGTGAGACATTAGAGAGGAAAATGTATTTGTAAAATCTCAGCGAATGAAATCATTCGCTGAGATTTTACAAATACATTTTCCTCTTTATATCTCCGACTACCTATCAGATGCCAATGCAGCCTATTTTATGCTGAAGTGAAACTGCAAAACCCATCAATATGTGATGACTCTCAGTCACTTGATCAAAATGAAATTGTGATCAGATTTTTCTTCGGAATACTGATATTAACATACTTAGTAGATACAACCACTAAATAACTTATGATCCCCAACTATATAAGTCGTATAACAATTTGTTCTCCAAGTGAATGTAAACTTTAGAAATAACGGTGTTGACATTGTGAATTAAGCGCACTAGACTTTTAAACTATGGTGAAAGGATGTAGTCTTTTAGTCCCGTATCCCTAACTAACAACTGGATAGACGAACCACTGCATCTATGTTGAACTACGCCGGTCTGCTCAGAACACTAAGATCAGTACAACCCTATAACTATTGAGCCAGGATATTTTAATTACATCAAAGGAATTGATTGGTGAGTCCCGAGATGGATTCGGAAAATATTCTTGTTTAATACTTTTGGTGCAAATTTATCGTCCGATGTCTCGAACTGCCACCTCTCACTACTTAATACTGACGCATATCTACTTCATGATTCCTCACGACACATTTTAGGCATGACTCACAAATCCTAGCCGATACTTTGGATAGTCGAATCTACTTTTACTGACAACTGGATATCATTCAGGTGATGTGTTCCCAAACTTAATCTTGAGTATTTCTTAGGTGATCAAATTAGTTTAGATAACTAGTTAATAAGTATTGTAAGGTATTATTATACTGGTAACTTGAATCCGTCGGATTATTTGTCAATGTAGTTTTCCCATGAGATAGTAAAGTTGGCTTCTACAAGCTTGCTCCACCTGCAGCGCAGATAAGATGTGTTTATCAATAAGCATGAAAGCTAAGCAGAAGTCCAATTTGCACTGCTCTACAGCTATAAAGCGACGTTCATAAAAAAGAACAGTGTATTCGCAGTTTGATCAAAGCCTCCTTTGAACCACTGGTCCCAGATAGTGGGATGACCGAGTCAGTAGTGCTATAGTTAGGCAAGAAGTACTAGGTAAAATGGTACGACGATTATTGAGGCTTTAAAATTTTATTGATCAAGGTATCTAGAACGCATTACATATATATAGCTAGAGCTCACTCGGAAGCAAACTGCCTACTGGCACAGAAGAAAGAGTATGAAGGGGGTCAAGTTAAGAGATGCTATTATTTCATCAAGTAATTGAATGTTGGTGTTAACCATGTTAGGTGCGGACGTACGGTTTGGAGCCCGTACATTAGTTGTAATCGGTAGTACAACCCAGAGTCGGTTACCCTGGTAGTTATACTGAAGCCATACTTCTGTTTAAATCTCAAGTCTATTGTGACCCCATATTTTTTATTCTTCGGTTTCACTTGTCTTTGAAGTATACTTCCTAGTTAGTAATTAGCGTACTGAGGTACGGGGTCTGATTTACTTATTCAAAACGCAAGACTAACAGAATCTTGAACCTGCGATCACTGTGGGTGTCAAGTAAATAGTGCGAGCCAGAGTAGCTTATGCCGATCTGTGCTGTTTTCGGTCCAAAAGTGACGCATCTAATTTAACTGTAAAAGACCGAATATATAACGTGAGAGCGGTTCTGTTATCCTTGTAGATTTGAGAATGTTTAGGGATTGTGAACGATTATCTCTGTCTTTGAAGATTTGGTGAAATCCGGTAATCCTGAAGTTCTGTAATATGTTTGGGTACACATGGTGTCATTATCTTGAAAGATCGGCTTAAGCAGTTTAAACATGGGTTACAAGTATCATTCAATCGGATCCCACAAGGCCCATTATTTCCCGATGCTGACTAAGTGAAAAACGGAGGAGCGATCAGTGCTGTGATACGATAGATAGGTGTCTACGACGGCACATCGGTTCATCACTTCTTGGCTAGGGTTTTACAGATTGTGGAAATCAGTGGTTTGAGACGCCATCAGATATGGCTGAGGACGGAAGTGATCATACTGGGTTTTTCCTAAATTCTTCGTAAAAGGTTACTTGAATCTCTCTAATGGATGATCGATTTTGACTATATTGTATACTTTACTGAACACTTTTCTTGTTCATTTATTTTCTGAGACCATTTACTTTGTTCATTCCTCCACAATATTATCATTTTACTAGTCTATCACTTTTTGATATCTCATTGTGCCAGTTTATATTTGCTATGAATAAATAAATCATTGGCTTTAGAGTGACATACAAAACTTATATATTCCCATCCCTCCTATTCCAAACTGCCTCTAATCACGTTTCATATTTTGTACGTAAACATGACATTTAACCAGATAACCCCCCTTTAATGATTTTTGTGATGCGTTTTTTATATCAGTTCATTTTAGGGCTTTTGTCAAGAATTCAGTGTCGCCAGCTGTTATAGTATTACTGTACATCACTGGATGATCAGGGTTCGAATCATCTTCTTAATCAGAAACGTATTTACCATAGCATATAGAAAAATCGAACTCCACAACACATTGGATTTGACATTATTTTACCTCCTAAGCTCCCGGTTCTATAAATTTCCTTCTCCATTTTGGTAATATGCAGTGAGCCAGCTAGGACTTATACACATTCCTGCCAAGTCTTACGTGAATTCGATAGATTATTAACACCACTCACCGTGTTAACGCAATGGAGAAGCTGGGAGACCAAATAATTGCCTACTTCGATTGCTATTTGCGTCTCCCCTAACAGATATAACAAACAAGTCTCCGGAAAATTTTGCAGAATCCCCTGTTTGAGATTTCCAATCATTATTTTCCACGCCATCTATTATAGTAAGTTATCAGTTTTTAAAATGCTCCTAGTAACTAAAGTTAGACAATGGATTATAATAATTTAGGAACTATGTGACCTAGGCTCTGTTACGATTTGGCGTGAACCTATTTAATTCTCTTAAGCAACGAAAAGATCCACAATGATGATAAATTATCAAAATGTCTGAATTTTACTCATTACGACTAGCTTCATTTGACTTTAAAAACTGTATTTAGGGTCTAACAGTCACCACTTCATTGGTAAAGAAGTAGAAAATAATCTGAAACCAGTAAAGCTCCTTGAGACTTTATACCACTCGTAACAACCATCTTTTGATTAAGTTACTGACGTGTTATTTTTACTCAGATTCCAGTTAGATAATGTTTTGGAGGTCACATTCTTTAAAAACCTGAGGGGTTGCCAACTATCAATGATAGCACCCGCAGTATCCTTTTAACTTCCGAAAGTCACGTCGTACATATATGAAGAATGTAAATACTATGAATACAATTAAGTTAAGAATAATAATCATATCACTACAAAGTAACACACGAAAAGAAACAATTAGGAAAAAGCTTTACTGATAATATATGAAGTGAAAAACATTTACAAAAGATGTATTTTTTGGAACAGGTCAGCGTTTTTTGAATCCATATTTCTTACGTTCATAAAACAGATCAGTTTTCGCACTCCCTAAATTGACGATTTTAGGACACCCATCTCTCTAAGTAAAAATATCTAATTAAAGAGAATCGAGAAACACTCACATCCTTTTCGAGACACGTGCACTGTCGACAGTAATAAGCGTCCGAAACCCCTGGACCACCACATATAACACAACGTCCTTGATATGATCCGTAATTACACTCGTCACATATACGAACAAGAGTACACGGGCGAACATAAGAATCACAAATAACGCACTTCCCATCACACTTTTCACACAAACGACCGATAGCTTTGTTAAGGATAGTAGTGAAATTCAACAGTCTTACCAACACCTGGTTGTTTCCTGCAGAAAATAAGGTCTGGATGATGCTTCGCCATAATTTAAACTTCTGACTACAATTGTAGTATCGCTTTTGTGTCCTAAAAATAATAGTAAAGTTATATTAAGCATTCGACAAGAAAACTAACTTAAGCATATTCAATGACCATCGAATAAAATTGAACCATAATGAACAGAACACATTAATTTACAAAACCCAGAAATAAACATTTCAGGACGTAGTTTATTGGATTGCCGTGGGTGAGTCAGTCAGTCACAACGTAGAACCTGTACGTACGTACATCGGTTCACGTCATACCCTATTAAAAGAGGGATGTCATGCCAAATTCTAGAATGGTAGATGTAGTAAAAGTATCTGTGGTAATGGGAAAGGTAAGCCATCGAAGATGCGACTCGAAAAGAAAATATAAATTAGTGAGATAAAAATACGAAGACTTATGGGCAATTTAGAATTTCAGGATTTGAGGAAAGACAAAGAATAGATGCACCTGAGCCGTTGCAAACTATTTTCAGCCATGTTATTCAAAGTCTCCCGATCGTAGCTGCTACCTTGACGTGGTGGTTGGGCTTGCCTATAGTGATGACCCAACCGAGCTATATTGGCTGGAACATATGTTCCTGTAGGTTCTACCATGCCAGTCAGGTCGATTGGAGAACGGTAAGACTAAAAGCAGCAACTCAGTGTCTGAGGGAAAGTCGTACTGCTGACTGTATAGAGGTGTGACAGCAGTAAGGTGTTTCCCTCGGACAACCAGCATCTGCAGCGATGCTGCCTTCTCACAAGGAAGGAAGGGGTTAGAAAAGGTTGACCCTAAAATGTCACACCTCACCTTACCCCACGGATTTCCGTCTCCGGCGGTAAGGCCCTTTGAAGAACGGAGCTAACACATTAAAAACCTCCCACGAAAAGGCCCTGCGCGACCGGCCTCAAGCAGTTATCCCTTGTGCTCTGCGGTCACGCTCCCAGGTCTTCAGGACCAACACTAATCCGATTTCCTTTTCAGATTCCTCAAGAAATACCCTTCCACAATGTGAGAAGCCGGGAAGTGACATCAGCCCTCATACCCGTAACAGCACACGAGACCAAGTTGGTCACATTTAAATCCTTCCTACACCTCCTAATAACTCTCTTATCTCCACGATCAACCCTTCTAACGTCCCTCTATCACCTCACCCCGCTAGTGCAAACGATTCGAGTACGCGGAACGTTATTCCTGGTCTCCTGAAACTACACTCTAAACTACACGTAGGAGATTTCAACGCCCGAACACTGTGCCAAATAGGAAAACAGGCTTGCTTAGCTAGGACTTTAAAATTTCGCGCCATCGATGTGTGCTGCGTCTCCGAAACGCGCACACAGGATCCGAGTAGTGTCATTCAATTGACCTCACCATGTCAAAGTAACGAACCAACTCGATTTATGCTTCGTGTATCTGGAAGCCCTGATACTGCTTCCCGTGGCCTCGCTAGCGTAGGTATAGCATTGAGTCCTAGGGCAGAACCAGCTCTCTTAGACTGGATCCTAGTAAACAGTCGTTTGTGCGCTGTCCGACCAAACGGAACAGTAGGGACACTCATCGTTGCCTCTTCGTCGTCTCTGCCTACTCTCCCACTGACTGCAGCTCAGAAAATGTAAAAGATGAGTTTTACAGAAAGCTTTCCGACCTTCTCCGATAAGCTAGGCGTTCTGATGTAGTATTAGTGGCTGGTGACTTTAATGCTCAACTAGGTAAACTAAGCAAAAGGGAAAAACACCTGGGTGGATCTTATGGTATCGCGGCTCAAAGAACAAATAATGGCGACCGTCTGTTGCAGTTATGCTCAGATAACCGCCTGTTTCTTGCAAACACTAACTTTAAGCATAAGAAAAACACATTTTGACATGGAGACCCCCTAATTCGTCCCAACTCTGGACCCAAATAGATCACATCGCTATCAGCTACCGATGGAGGGGCTCGATAGAAGACTGTTGTTCATTCTGGAGCACATGCTTAGACTCAGATCATGCTCTAGTGCGAGCGCGTATTTGTCTACGTCTTACTGGACGTAGGAAACATGCTGCAAGGAAACCCCTTAGGGTCCTACTTAATGATAGTCAAGCTAAGAGTATATTTCAGGAAAAACTAGAAAAACAGTTAGGCAGCCATGTAAGTGATGTCCACCGTGAGGCAGCGTGGAATGACATTCGAAAAGCTGTAGAAACAGGAGTGATGTCTGAAAGTACGGTAAACTATAAGGTTAGGGAGAAACACTGGATCTCAGCAGCGTCTACCGCACTGATAGATGCTCGAAAACTCATTTCATCTGGCTCTGAACATAACGAAAAACGGAGTCAGCTTAGGCGTAAGCTGACTAGAAGCCTACGCAATGATCGTGAACAGCGGTGGGTAGCGAAAGCAAGAGAGATGGAAAAGGCAGCGGCAATAGGTAACAGCAGGCAACTGTTGAAACTTGTTAAGGAAACCGGTATTAGGAACCCAACTGTTAGCGCAACAATCGCAGAGAAAGATGGACATATTATTCATTCTCAATCCAGGAGATTGGATCGATGAGCAAAACACTTTAGGGATCAGTTCAACTGGCCTTCAGCCACACGTCAGTTTCCCACGATCTCCAATCTACCTGAATGGCAAATTAATGTAAGTCCTCCGACTCTTGACGAAGTTGAAAAACCTATAGGAAATCTGAAGCGTGGGAGAGCAGCAGGCCTTGACAGGTTTACCCCAGAGATTTTTAAGGATAGTGGTCCAGTATTAGCAGCGAGATTGTCTGAGGTCTTAGGTAGAATCTGGGAACTGGACGTAATCCCATCTGACTGGTCTCAATCACTGATTGTTCCAGTCTATAAGAAAGGACAAAAGTCCTCTTGTGACAATCACAGAGGAATCAGTTTGACTAATATAGTGTCTAAAATATTAGCTTCAATAATATTTGGACGCCTAACCAAAGCTCGTGAAGAGCAGACTAGAGAAAACCAGGCTGGTTTTCACCCTGGATGTGGTTGTATAGACCATATATTCACACTACGTCAGGTCTTAGAACATAGATACACATCCAGACGCCCCACAATCCTAGTATTTCTCGACCTTAAGGCGGCATTTGACTCTGTTGATCGTGAGGTTCTATGGCAGTGTTTGTCAGTTAAAGGAGTACCAAAGAAGTACATTAACCTTATAAAGACTCTCTACTCGAACACAACTGGCCGAGTGAAAGCTTATGGAGAAATGTCATCAGAACTGATTACCTCAAGTGGTGTTCGTTAGGGCCGTCCACTCTCTCCATTCTTGTTTAACTTTGTCGTTGACGTACTTTTAGAAATAACACTCCAAATCCGACTTTCCAGGGGTTGAACTTCTACCGAGAGATTCACTTGTTGAGTATGCCGATGACATAGTTCTACTTGGTGAAGACGCTGACAAAATGCAAAGTCTGCTGACCACTCTAAGCAACAATACAGGCATGTCCGGCATGCGATTTTCTCCCTCGAAATGCAAAATGTTGCTTCAGGATTGGGTTGCGCCGCCACCCGAACTAGTGATAGGGAGTGAAGTAGTTGAGTGTGTCGACCACTTCACTTATCTTGGAAGTCTCATCAGCCCTTGTGGTCTGGTGTGTGACGAAATCTCAGCACGGATACAGAAGGCTCGACTAGCTTTTGCCAACTTTCGTCATTTGTGGCGTAGGCGAGATATCCGTCTATTAACCAAAGGACAGGTTTATTACGCAGCAGTTCGTTCCGTCCTACTTTATGGCAGTGAGACATGGACAGTAAGAGTAGAGGATATTCGTAGGTTACTAGTATTTGATCATAGGTGTTTTCGAAACATTGCTCGTGTATCCTGGGACCATCGAGTAAGTAATGCAGTTGTTAGCAAACGGGTACTAGGTAAGGATGGCAAATCAATTGATGAAGTAGTGAAACTTCATCAGTTGAGATGGCTGGGACATGTGTTGCGCATGCCAGACCACCGACTGCCCCGACGTGCGTTGTTTTGTGGTGTAGGAATAGGTTGGAAGAAAGCTAGGGGTGGCCAGACCAAAACATGGCACAAATCCATGAAGTCACTGACAAGTGGACTGAGCCATGTTGGTAGGTGTAGACTACCTGGTTGGGGACCGCGAGACGACAGCAACCGATGGTTAGAGACCTTGAATGACATGGCTCAAAATCGTTTGCAATGGCGCAGGTGCATCTACTCTCTGTGTTTCCCAAAGTCTAATCATCTGAATTCTTTGTGTCCTTTATTTTCTTTCCAAATTTATTCCACTGGACTATACTCCTTAAATAACATCATCAAACCCTAATGTTCCCTATCACGACTTATACTTTCACTACCTCTACCACTACGGGATTTGAATCGAAAACTGAATCTCTTTGCTAATGTGATATGGCAACTCGAACTGATGTACGTACGTACGAATGACTGACCATTCAATTTATATTTATTTATTTATTTGGACACATTAATATTGGTACAAGGGGGCACCAAATATATATGCGCTACACAAAACAATGATAATTTGAAGAGAAGGAAAAAAATATAAGGAACGTAGGGAATTATAAAAAAAAAGAACAAAAATGAGGGAAACGAAAAGGTACAATCAGAGGAAATCTTACAGTTAAGCAAGAAGCAACCACTCTTTACGAATAAATTAAAAGAAAGTTACAGCAGGATCGCCACTGGCTTCTATTCTGAGCCATATCTGATAACGTCTCTAGCCACTGTGTTACACCATCTCTAGGACCCCAGCAGGGAGTCGTGAAGGACCAACAGAAGCCAGTCTTTTGCAGCTTTCTTTCATACCACGACACCATGTCATATACTCACCACCTCTCCGCTTTTTACAACCAGTCCCAGAGTCGGCAAATAATGCACGACGTGGAATTCTCTGGGATGACATTCGTAGAACATGTCCAAGCCACCGAAGTCGGTGTTTCAAGATGGTGACACCAATTGCATTATCGTCTCTGTGACCGAACACACGATGCCAAACCTCTGCATTTCTGACATGGTGTTGCCACTGGATGTCAGCAATCCTTCGGAGACAGCGACGATCAAACACAGAGAGTCGTCTAACA